TTGAAGTTATCCACGTTTCCAAGTACTTGTACGAGTCCACTCTTTCGATGTTCGTGTTGTTTACCACTAAATGGATATTTATGCGCGGTGATTTAGTAACGACCGTTAATTTAGTTTTGTTAAGGTGGATCTTTAGATCGTATTCATTGCAGCACGTATTTGTTCGATTCGTTAGGTTTTGCAAGTCGACGATTCTATCAGTCATCATGAGCAAATCTAAAATTGTTAAAAGTTCCGCGATTTATCTTTATCCCTTCCGAGCAAGCGGCCAATGCTTTTTGGAATATGGTCTCATTTTAGATATTGAAGAGACAGAACACAGTTTCTATACCGACGTTATTACGTCTTCTGCAGAACACGGAAAAGCTAGGTATCTTTGGTAAAATATATCATTATCATCGACACTTGCGATTAGTGGCATAAAAATTTGGTGTGTCGAATAAAAAGTGAAAATGTCGACATAGAAACAAATTGGTTTTCTTTGACCTCTTCTCACAAATATTCGTCCACTAGAGTAATTGTGTCACAACCTCAACATATACAGTCAAAAAGCTTACTGTGCTTGTGTTATTTGGTTGTATTCAAGCATCCTTATGATGTTTCGGAATAATCTAAGAAACTGCTTATATGTTAAATTGATTTATGTAAATGAATGAAATCCCAAGAAAACATTTTTTAAAAGGCCTTGCGTTGAAATTTTATGTAATATCGTGGACACATTTATATTGATGATCAAGTCACTAAGCATTACGGATGATCTAAATTTCCCATAAACGAGGCACTATTCTTCCTCCAGGGTAGAAATCTGAATGGGGACTCTGCAGTCAGGCATAAGAATATTTAAAGGATATTCGAAAGTTTACTCAGGGACATTTGACAATAATGAGGAAACCTCGAATATCATCAAAACACCTTTTCAGTTCTTGTTTTCCAGAAAAGCATTCATTACGATGTTCTAATTCCGCCAGCCTCCCATTTTCTCTGCTATACGTTTTCGTGTGTGTAATTAGAGTTTAGCAGAAACTGGACGAAAACATCTATCAGAAAGAAAGTCCAATATATCGCAGAGTGTAAAAGTTTGGACATTAAAACCGTCACCGACCTACGTGAACCTTTCTCACAACTCCCTGCCGTAAAAGTAAAGTTAGCTAAAGCTCCTATTTCGATGCCAAGATTGCCACTGTACGAACTTTTTTAACAGTGGTACAGCGCTTACGGTTCGCGACCAAACTGAATCCAATTAATTTTCAAAAGCTGCATCGGGTTATCGCGTAGCTTTGACCGCCTCCCATCTCAAAGTTTTTCGCTACCGTTGCCCTTCGTGCTACAAATTTCAAAAATCGTCTGGAAATCGATCTCTTTTCACGTCGATGTGCCAGAACTGTTTACGATAATGCGTCAAACCGAAGATAGCGGAGCGAAGGGGGGAGCGGAAAACGTTAAGGCATCCGATGACATTTGATTAAAGTTAAATGAGACGGACTTTAAAAGTTCCCCCCGCGAACCATCCCACCGCTGCAAAGGAGGAAATGGGGAAGCAAAAGGCAGCGGATTCGTCTCTGAATAGAAATTTAAACTTAAAGGCATTAACGCCTGCCTTTGAGTTACCTTCAAAGGAGGCGTCCTCGCCTTTAATATGATTTTTTTAAAATTGTGCGGGAAGGAAAGGTGGGGTGGTTCACGGGTTTCACGACAACCTGGAAATTCTGGAAAACGTTGGTATCCAACAGTTATCAGAGAAAGTTGTCCAGAGGTTTGGACACAAAATGACGACACATCGTTCAAGGGATTAAACCAAAAGCAAGCCACGAATTCCATAAAAGAATTTCTTCATCTCATTTAAAAACAACTGTACACCCCTGTAAAATCTTTGCTTATGATTCTATTTTGATAATTTTTTTTGTTAGATAGGTCTGTACTAAAAACTTGTTTCTCTGTTTGCTTCAATTTAAAGTCATGGCCAACTAAGACTATTTAAAAAATAAATTGTCAACGAATTCTTATTGACGAGTACTTATAACCTAACTATACCAATTTTTATAATGTATACAGGGTGTTTCAAATATCGTTTGCGCTTTGCTTAAAGCTGTACATCGTTGTAAAATCTTTGAATACGGTTTGATATTGATAATTTTCTTTTGTTGGATAGATCTCTCAAAAACGCACTACAACCTTATGTTCCTTATTACATCAACCTGAAGTCATCGCTAGTTGAGTATTAGGGATTTCTTTAGAAAGAAAGTGTCAACGAATTCTTATTCAGGACTACATAAAACCTAACCATAAAGTTCGAATATCGGAGTGCTCGAAATATCGCGGGCGCTTCACTTAAGCATTACTCCTGTAGAATGTTTGTTTATAACTCTATTATGATAATTTTTTTTGTTGGATAGATTTCACTGAAAAACACTAACGATTTTCTTAAAACACTTAAATTAAAACGCTTAAAATGGATTTTTAATTCTCATCTAATTAGGAAAATAACAGAAAAGAATCATAAGGTTTTAGTGCGACTTATCAAACAAAAAAAAAGTTATCAAAATCATACCGCAATCGAAGATTTTACAATTATTTAAAAAGCCCTAATAGTACTTCTCTCTTATCGCTCTTTTGTTAAATAGTCCCAGTTGGCCGTCACTTTAAATTGAAGCAAAATAATATTTTAGTGCATTTTTCAGAGATATATTCAGGATCTTCAGGATTTTACCGCACGGGTTTGGGAGCAGTAGGATGTCTTCGGAGATATTTCCCACGCTTTGATTTTTGAAGTTTGTCAATTCTGACGGTCATGTCATTGAATTCTTGTTGTTTTGCGAAAATGTACCCAAAAAAGTATAATATGCAACACGTTCGGAACACTTTATTAAACACTCGCTCCGCTGGTGTCAAATAAACTCGTGAGTCAAATGCCGTTTACCCCACTTGTTGCATAATATACTATTCCAAAGTAGGTCAAGAGAGCTATAGTGTATGTTACATAAAAAGTTTTGGAAGTTTTCATAGAATGTATAATAATAATAATAATGTTCAGGGCATGTTATTTTCAAATAATTAAGATGGCGTGCGCTTCAAGTAGATGTGGCAACCTTAAAATGTCGCAAACATTTTTAAAATAGGGTCCTATGACTGCAGCCCAATTTTTTACAGACTATTGTTATCCATTCTCCAGATGCCATGGGCCATCTAGTTTAAGGAACCCTGTATACTGGTCTCCCGTTAGTTCATTGTGTTTAGGCAAATTAAATTTCCTCATAATTATTAAAGGAAATAGAGATAGGTATTATTTATTTTTCGCGCTAGCAAAAGAACTGAGGGAACCCTAATAGGTGCTTCAGTGGAAACACTGCTGGACTAATTATAAAGTGGAATGCGAAACCTCGCCTCTTCGGGACGGCACACGTAAAAACAATATGAATTAATTAAGTAGAGTATTGTACAGTTCGTATTTAAAAATGTTTCCGTGTTCGCGTACCTGCAAGGCACCGGAACTTCGTTTCGGAATTTGTTTTAAAATTAAAACTACCGCTGCGTAATCGCCTGGACTTCCGCTGATACCCGCGAAACTGTAGCTGCGAAAATTTTAATTTCTTTCTTCAGCGAAGGTCGTCTTAATTTACAAAATTCCAGGTATACTTGGGTAAATAAACGGATACTTTATCACAACAACAACTTATAATCTTATTTACCAAAATGAAAATAACGAACACCTACATAATAAATTTAAATTCTAAATTTTTCCCAACCCCTGCTCTAAAATACCCAATTAAGGGCTGGTCAGGCTTGCGCAAAGGGTCACTTATACAGATTATAGTATTATATTCATCTCATCTGTACAACCTTATACAGACAAGGGTCGTGTTTATATTATAAGATGTTAGTCAAGAAAAAAACAGCCAATGTGATCTACACCCTTTACGTCATGGCTTCATCAAAATTGCGTGTTTTCTGCATTAACCGTAAAATATTTTTCCTATTTTCAGTACTAGAATAAACTGTTAAATCAGTTGTCATGAATTTTGGCGTCTCCATTCATCGTCTGTAAAGGTAGAATTCCAAAGTATTCTTTTCTCTCTCTGAGGGTCTAAGATCTTGCATCCATTGAGCAAGGCAGAGATGCGTAACACCTTATTATTCGAATTCAAAGCTATATAGTGAAATCCGTTATTGTTATAAATTTTCCTCGCTTGCTCAATTCTCCAAAGAACTCCTTTTTTGAGTTGAGTTTTTGATATTAGCTCCTAGGTTTTTTATATATTTCACTTGTTCTATTGTTTGTCCCTTGACATGGTGTTTTCGAAAAGACCATTACTTTGGATTTCAAGGCATTGAAGTTCAAACCAAGTATTTCAAATTGTGTACTGGTATCATCAGCAGTTCATAAAAAATAACTCCATAATACTATTTACAAAACTTCTGGATTCCTCCAGCCTCGGTTGATGTTGAGTCGAACTTCTTAACGTTTCGCCAATCATCCTGTTGGCTTCTTCAAAGTTTAACTGTCACTCAAGTTCGACCCAAAATCAACCAACGTAGAAGGAATCCAGAAATTTTTTAAATAGTATTACAGTAGCCTGTGGAAGTTTCTTTGAAAAATTAACTCCATAATATAAATAGGTCCCTATAAACTTAAACTTAAAACTAAAAATGGTTAGAAATCGATGTGGAAAAGTCAAATAACAGGCTTAAAATATCCAAAAGTCAGAAATTTTATAATTACTGACAATTGTTTTTCACCTTCTATCTATCACACTAAATGAAGCGTCTCACGTCTAATGACAGTTTGTTTGTACAATTTTTTTGATTTTATTTTATAATGTTTTTCTGCAAAAAAATTGCCACAAAAAAAATGCCATGAGGATTACGTGCTCTCCGCAACTTTCGAAATGAATCAGCAAAAATGCTGAGCATGTATAGAATTCACTAGGGAATAAAATAATATAAATAAAATGATAAAAATAAAGAAGAAAATATATATTCACAAATAGAAATGTCGTTACATAAGGAACATTGAAGTCGCTACGGATTTGAAAAATAGTACACGAAAAAGTACAAACGTCTAACTCTAAACTAAACTACAACCTAGTAATCTTGTGAAAGGTTTCTACGGATGACCTTCTTACTACGCATCTCTCTCTCGCCGGTCCTCGACTTTTTTCGAAAATGCCTTAAATCTTGCTCGTGTTCCGGATGAAGCATCGGCTTGTAGGCAGACGGCTCACACAAATCGGAATGCCGTTCGAAAAATCTCTTGTAACCGCCGTCCAAGATGTAAACTTCCGGATGGCAGAGCTCGGGGTAGTTCTCTCCGTTCTTCAATCGGTCCATCTGTCTTAAGTGGCGATACATATTCGGTCCTCTCTCCTTGGAAAACTCGCAGTGAAAGATCAATACGTGTCTCTCTTCTTTCGATTTTCTCGGTTCTTCGAGTAGCTTCTGGCACTCTTCTTTGGTATGGATATTCACGGCTCCTCGAATATGACCTCCGGCGAATTCGTAAGGATATCGACTGTCGATGACTCTGTAAGACGACAAAGCGCGATCGTAAACGCCTGTGATCAAATTCCTCATCGTTTCCACAGAAATCGTCTTCAAATCGGGATGATCTCCCGACATCACGGGCAAACAACAAGCTTTGGAGAAGTCGCCGATTAGGTCTTGGTCATCGGATGACTTTTCTACGCATTTTTTAACATTTTCGTCGTTCTCTCTATCGAACAACTTCAGTCGTTTCAGCGCCAAAGTGGTACCTTGCGATGGTGTAGACTCGGTGGACGAACCTTCGCGTGTTCTCTTGGCCGACCAGCATCTGGTCGGGATCTCTTTGTCTTCGGATGGCGAAAAACACATCAATGTCTCGGCGTCATGGTCCAGAAGCAACGGCGAATGAATCAAGTCGCGAAAATTGGAAACTGAGTCGGAAAACCCGGAATCTTTAGTGTTGTCGTCGTATAACTGACACTCGTTAAATCCGTCAAATTGACTGACGCCTTCGTATAAATTTTCGAGAGACATTGTTATTCGGGCAATGCACAACTTCTGAATAGATTTAAGTTTCTTCGGGACGTGGTTTAAATAATCATCTTGGGTCGTTAGTGCCCGTAAGGGACAATAAAATGATAGCAGGTCAATTAGGCGAACCTTAGTTTACTGCAGGGATTAATGACGATGCTTCGCCACCACTATTATGGGCCGTGCGAGGCAATTACCACTGTTTTGTTAATATCGGACCTGGAAACGCCGATATTTGCCAATTATGTAGGTAGTTAATATCTAAAGTTTATGTTAATGCCGAAAATGGGACACTTACGAATTTGTTTCGTCAACAGCAAAATAACCACAAATTAATGTAACACAAAGTAGAGGAAATGAAAAAGTAGAACCATTACCTGGATGAATCTGGATTAATTTTTTTGTTGTTGCAGGTGAGAAAAAATAGTGGTGCTTGGGGACAAATTACTTCGGCTGTGACGTAAGTATCGTGAGATAGTATTCCGAAAGCTACGCAATAAATAACTCTAATTTCGTTTGCATAAAACCTTTACTTCTGCTACTATATATTTTTTTCGTTTTTTAGTATAAAGCGCATGGAATTATATACAAATAAAATAAACTACATCACTCACAAATTATGAAAATCTAAAAGAAAATAATTTCTCTTAAGAAAACATGTCTGCCAGATTTCTTGACTCATTCAAATTTGTTAATATTTTGCTGTGTGTTTACTTTTTCGACGAAAAATATATGTACACAACATTACAGAAAATAAAATTTTAATTTGAAACATACAATTCCCCTTTCTTAGGTTTTAGACTAAAAATATTTTTTAAAAATGTAAAATGAAAAAATTAAATTTTCATTTGAAACAATTTAGTTTTTGTATAAACTTTAAACTATTAGTTTTAAACCGCATAAAAGAAGAGTTTATAGCGATTCTGACGGATTAATATCTGATTTGTAAAATTAAAGATTTTTGAAATTTGAAAAGATATTGCATATTGAGTTTCTTCAATAATGCACAAATCGAGAATTCACTTTGAAGCAAATTTGGACCATTTTCGCATTGCAATATTCCCCGCCGCCGCCGCCACCGCGGGGGACCGCCCCCTATATTGCGTATATACTGTTTTCCTCAAGAACAAACAACTTCTCAGCCGAAGGAACAATAAAAGGGAAATAAAACGCAAACAATTTCGCTCTTCTCCACTTTTTTTGCGTATATTATTTGCCCTCCTTTACTACTTTGTTTCGTTCATCATCCCACAATAATACCGCATCTAAATCATAATACACGGAAAATCGGAAAATAACAATATGACTTGAGAAACGTGACGGCAACGATTAATCCCTTGTTGCTAAAAATACTCTCGGATCGAAGGACCGTAAATCTATCATCGACCGACGAGTTTTTGTTTTTTGATTAATAGAACCGTTCGATCTCAAACTGGTATTTATTGGATTATTTTAAAACATGTAATACTACAGTTGTCACAGTCTACATAATAAAAATTTATTTATGCATTTGTTTAACAATCAATCGACAATTTAACAAATAAGTAAAGATGAAAGAAGTAGAGAGCAGTGATTTTGGGTCATTAAAATTTCGATTTTTTTTTCAAATTACGATTGGATTAAGAGATACAGATCGTTTTCGAAAATACTGCTTTTTGAGGTACTCCTAGTCACTTTCTCTTTGATAGCTTATCGAAAACTCAATGGCCCTTTTTTAGTTCCATTCTCAGAATAGACCTTACAGGACCCAATTGTGAATATTGTGAATAAGAATGTAACTATTTCAAAATAGTAGATAGTCTATGGCTCCCAAACTTGTGTGACATATCAATTTTTGGTTATTTGAAAAAAATTGTATTATTGTGGTGTTTATTTAGCTGTTTACTTTGCCGAAAAATGGTCGTTTAAAACGATTATAAAAAGTATAATACGTTGTTTAGCATTTGATTTTTTGCAGTGGAATGAGAATTATTCTGAGGGATAAATTGAATTTTAAGCCATAATTATATTTTGCAAAACAGAAGGGTTATTAACAACTCTTTTATGTCTACCTATCATTAAAGATAAGTGTCTACATCATTGCGAATGTCCAATTGCCCAATTACGAAATTTTAACGATACCAGTTGTCAAATTTAATCTTAGGTTTCATGTCAGTACATTTTTGGGGTCTACACAAAGTTATGAAAATATCGACAGCAGTCATCATTCTAAGTAGTGAATGACGTAGCAATAATCTGGTCAAATTTAAAACTACAAAATGGGGAACCCGTCAATTCGAATAAAGAACGTATTATACTATTGCCGTAAAATGATTAACAAACAAATAAAAAGTGAGAACTTTTCATTAATTAATATTGAAAAATCGTTTAAAAAGCATAATCTATTGTCATTTTGTTGATTTCTGGTATTGTAGCAGAACCTGTCCCATTAAATTTCAATTACTACGAAAAGATTTTCTGAGTGGAGAATGAAATTTTGTTGTTGCCCGTAACCAAAATTCGAACGAACTTATAACAGTGACGTAGGTAATTGTTGATCCGATTTGGCCAGTTGGAGTTTCTCGACGTTATTATGTTATTAGACGACGTCGTCTCGCAATCATATCGGCCGAATGCCACAGGAAACAATAGAGCGAAACGCTTCTAATTGACATTTCGAGCCAAGTGCCTGTAACTGTAACCTGGCAACAATGGTCGATAAGGGCTCTCGGGCAATTGAAACGCTCCCATCGTTTAAATAATCCCCCGGATATTTCCCCGAAGGATTAAACTTTCATTTCGGGAATGGATCGAGTATAGAAGTTGTACGTCGCGGGACAATTTCGGGTCAACGCGAATCCTTAAATTACGATATAACAATCTAAGGGTGATGTATTTTATATAAATTTAAGAGAATAAAAGATTTGGGTTGGGATTTGGTTGTTTTTTAAATAATTGTAGATGATGTTTTCCTATTACAATGGCATGTTAATTGCAATCACAGGCTTGCTATATATATCCCTTTCGTTTTTTTTGAGGTTTTTGATATCAAAAGCCAAAATTTATATAAACTTTTGGCTTTGCGCAAATTTTACAGCTAAACTAACCCGTGACTAAAGTACCGGAAACTGACTGACTGAATAAATTTATCAACGTGTTGCATGCCTTTCCTAGCACCAACAGTTTTTGGGTACGTGGTCGCAAAACAGCACCAACAGATTCACTGAGCGACGTGACTATCAAAATTAGACAAATTTCTTTAAAATTAAAATTACATTCCGACAATTTTTTTTTTCAAAGAAACTTCCACAGGCAACTGTAATACTTTTTACAAAAACTTCTGGATTCCTCCTGCGTCGGTTTTTGCTCAGTCGAACTTGCTGACGTTTCGCTAGTAATCCTGTTGGTTTCTTTAGAGCTTGACTGAAACTTATTAAGAGCGGTTACTGTTACAGCAAGTTCGACTCAGCAAACACCGACGCAGGGGGAATCCAGAAGTTTTGTAAAAAGTATTACATTCTGACAATAGTAAAAGTCATGGGGGTATTTCCTTTTGTCGTTTTCATTCACGGACACCCTGTATAAGGTTGCAATCCGACGGTGTTGGGGTCCAATCGAAAACGAACGCTTGCTACGAATTCTTTTTCGACATTCAGTTTTTTGGGACTGTCCGTCCTACTTTAGCCTCAATTTGTCAGCATCGCCACCTTTTCCAAGCCAAATTACATCTTCAGAGATGTAATCGCCAGATTTAATTATAGCCATAATTTAATCGTTAGTTGGTGGTAATTTGTGCCACACTTCGGGCCTTGTTTTCGATCCCTAATTGGATAGTTTAGTCTTCAGGCAAGTGTACCCGAGTAACGATATCCCTAATAGAGTAGCTGCTGGGGTCCGACCGGCAGTCCTGTTAAAAGAATTTACCTCAATCAATTGGATAATGGATTTTCATAAAAATATATCACAGTTTCTAGTAAATCTATCCCGTTTTTACGATTTTTCACATTTTGTGTTTAATGAGGTCTCACAGTGTGGAAATTTGAAAATGATCTTCCTCATTTTCGACCAATAAGCATATAAAACGTATTTTACAGTTGTTAACAATATCGGCCCTACATTTTCTTTAAATTTAACATACCCTTTTGATGTACTTGTGTTACCAATTACGAATAACGAAATATATATTTTCCACATTTTGCAGTTTTATGTAAATTTTCTTTTTGTTTAATTTCCGATTACCGACTAGTTAAAAATAAATAAGAATTGAAAAGCAAAATAATCTATTAGTTAGTGCATGGAGGTCACTGCTAAGACTCTTCTAAACACTGCATTCGTCTGTCTATTATCTATTATTTCCCAGAATATTTTTGTTTTGATAATATTATTAAGCACTACACAAAGTTTTTAAAGTCGATTTGGAAACCGTATTAGATACGGTTTAAAATAGGCAATAAGGCTTAACATAACTCGCAAAGGATTAAAACCCGGACGTGATTAAAACAACCTACCTGGAAAAGACTTAAAATTAATATGATTTTGGCACAGTTAATAGGAAAGCTAATTATGGTTCCAATAACACAAGTATCAAGATAACACACAAAGTCACTTGTAAATTTCAACTCTAAAAATAACAAATAAAATATAGAAAGTGACGCAAACCCAAACGAGACAGATGTCTGAAGATATATATATATATATATATATATATATATATATATATATATATATATATATATATATATATATATATATATATATATATATATATATATATATATATATATATATATATATTTACTTATTTATTTTTACCCGTTAATTGCCGAATTATTATTAAATTTGATTAAAAAGAAAGTAAAAAGTAAAAAAAAGTGCTAAAAAGAAATGTGTCACACTGGTCACAACCGCCACAACCTGGAGAAAAAGAATTAAAATTAATATTATTTTCCACAGTGAATGGGACATTATGGTGCCAATAACAAGTTTATTTTATGCCAGAAAAACGAGCTTGTGGAAGACACAAA